CAATACGGGCTTTAGGATGATATGCTTAGCTCTTGAAAATTCAAATACCATCTCAGATCACCTATTTTCAAATTTCAGAGAGATTACTGAGATTCAGTCTAGCCTGGGAAATCACCAACTGAAGAAATTAAAATAAATATGTATATTTACTAAGCTCATTTTACGTGTTCCATATATCTCCTTAGCAAAGAAATTTGCTGAATTGCATCCAAAGACAGATGAGAAGAAGGAGAAGAAAGGAAAAGCAGCCAAAGAGGAGAAACCTAAGCAAGAAAAAAAACCAAAACAAGAGAAGAAAGAAAAACCAAAGAAAGAACAGGACGACGATGATGATGATGATTTGCCAAAGGAACCAAAGGCTAAAGATCCCTATGCTGGTCTTCCAAAGAGGTTAGGAATTCACACAACTCATACTTATAGTTCGGCAGTAGTATGTCTACATTAGAATTGTGCTCTTCTTCACAAAAATTATGTTTTTCATCGCTAATGTTTTGTGGAGTTTCAGGTTAGTTGTTGTCAAAACTATAGGACAGAAACTATAAGCTTAAACCTCAGTGAAAAGTGGAAACAAAATTTATGCCAATCTTGGATTCGCTTAATTGTGCCTAGAGCTTTTGGGCCCTGGTCCAGGACTCAGTTTAAATCACTATTCAACAGTTAAGTCATAACACAAAACAAACTACAGTAGTACAGTTCCTCCAGTGCTGTAAGTGGAAAGTCTTGGACCATGAAAAATTCTTTGCATAGGAGAAATGTCTGCTCAGGGGGATGTGGTGTTTTGATCTATGGGTGGTTAGGGATGGTTTCACAGATAATCTCTATTAGGTGAAAACCAAGTTGATGCTTGCTGTTGTATTGCTGCATTTTTATGGAGTTACAGTAACACGCTACAAGTACTACTGGAGTCTATCACTGTTGCTAATAAATTTAATGTAACTCTGTGTATTGAAGCTGGCCACAACTCCAGTTCTTGTTTCTCTTTGATCTTAATTTTGTGATTGTTTTGTTGTTGTTGTTGTTGTTGTTGTTGTTTATTAGCTCATTTGACATGGATGAATTCAAGCGCACCTACTCAAACAAAGACACGGAGACAGTGGCTATTCCACACTTCTGGGAACATTTTAACAAGGAAGACTTTTCTGTGTGGCTGGCTGAGTATCAGTACAATGAAGAGCTGAAAAGGGTCTTTATGGCCTGCAACTTGGTAGGGGGCATGTTTCAGCGTCTAGAAAAACTGCACAAGACTGCATTTGCCAGTGTGTGTGTTTTTGGAAAGGATGGTGATGTCTCCATCTCTGGTATTTGGATCTGCCGCACACAAGAGCTGGCCTTTAGGGTAGGTGTCAAACATTCCAGGTGCGACATTTTTTCCACCACAAATCTTTTCTTTGTCCTGTTATACATTGTTTTTTTTTTGGTCTAAAATAATCCATTGTCTAAAATTTGACATTTTTGTATTGTTTTCTGTTGTTGCTTTTTTGATACACACACTGAGCCGTGTTTGTGAGGTAAAGAGTTAGGCTAAGGAGTGGTTGAACCATTTTAAAGAATGAGCCTCGATGATTATTACTTTTTAGAGTAGTGGACTGAATCTATGTGTGGAAATCTGTTCAGTACTTGTATGAGGGGCTCTGTATAAGGAAGTAACATGCATTTCTTTTGAGATTTTGGAAAGGTCCAGTTTGATTCGGCAGCTGTAACTAGTGTTTAGTGTTTAAAGTGAAAATTTTTGCTGCTTCAAGTACAAGTTTATTCTTTCTTAAAGCACTAAGCATGTTTTAAAATAAGGTAACTTTTTGTTTTGGTAAAATTGGAGTATTGTACGTACAGTGACGTCATGGCCAATTTTTTTGCTCTGATAGGTTTCCAGATTTTCTTATCCACATTTTTATGCTTCTTCCACTTTGCCACACCAAGCTCCACTTGTAATTCTTTTGTTTATAATGAAGAACCCTCGTGAGATAATCATTAAAAAAGGTTTCAGAAAGGAATTCGTAAGTGTTTGTGGTTACTGTTTGAGATGTTTTAAACTGTGGTTTCATTCTCCGGTCCCATTGTTTCCTAATATTACTCCAGTTTTGGGGGATTACTTACCATGTAATCCTCTTCTTACGTGTCTGCACATAAGGCCGTTTTTGGCCACAGAAAAGTATGGTGTGTCTTGAAGAAAGCCATCTTTTTCCTGAGTTTATCCATCTTGTCTCACTGACACAAAGAACTTCATTGCAGTAGTTCTGCATCTTTTTTAATACTGACTTCAGTTTTCCTGTTTGATATGATGCTCTAACATTCCAACATCTTATCTGCAGTTTTCATTTAGGGTTAAGGAGATCCGTTTTTAAGATGCCCGCACCTGGTTGGGTTTGGCTGCCATCCGTCATCATCCCTAGAGTCTGTGGCTCTTCATTCCTTGCAATATTGACATCTTGTTCTTTGGTTTTGGTTTCCATAGCAAGGGTTTTTGTACGGAGTTGGGTCGCTAACCCCACCCCTTATTAAATCGCAATAACCATTGCTTGAAACAGGAATTCAGATTGTGGTCGTTTTGCCCAAAAGCCAGTTCACTCGATGCCATTTTGCCCAGACTTATTGTCGGTTCACTCGGATTGTTACCTCCAAGGTCAATGGATTAAAGAAAGAGAAATTAACATGTGTTGTGTAATTTTGTTTCATTATGCCCATAATGTTCTCTTTTTCACTTGGCTTAAAGAAAGAGAAATTTTAAGCACAACTTTCTAGAAACTTTCAGTCCATGGAAAAGAGTTTTAGTCCGGACAAACTGACATTGGGCAAACTGGCTATCGGTTGAACCACTGGTTACCTAGAAACAGAAAACAGCATTGTTGCTTTTAACGCATTAAGTTAATCATGTCACGTTATTCTCACTTACTTGCAGCTGAATGAAGACTGGAACATTGATGCGCCTTCGTACAAGTTCACCAAGTTAGACGTGGATAACCCAGACCATAAGAAGATAATCAATGAGTACCTGTTAATGGAAGGAGACTTTGGTGGAAAAACATTCAACCAAGGAAAAATCTTTAAATAGACTCAAAACTGCTGCAAAATAAACTGCCCCACAGTGGATTAACTGTGTGATTTCTTGTCTGTTTTTTTATTATTATTATTATTATTATTATTATTATTATTATNAATGTTAAGGGTGGAAATCCAGACAATGTCCGTATTGTAACACAATAATAAATCCGTGAGAGCATTTTTCAATGAAGCCCTGTCAGTTTTATATTTTCTGCTTTACAAGTGTTGTAATTTCCATTATTTTATCATGTGCAGGTCCCAGCCTTTGAGACTAAAGATGGGAAGTGTATTTATGAAAGCAATGCCATTGCTTATTATGGTATGTTTCTGTATGGCCATAATATGTCATATTTTTACCGTCCCCGAACCAACAAGTGCCCTACTGTTGAGAGAAGAGATGTATGAAATTTATTACCTTTAACAGTCAGAAAAACTGGTCAGACATTTAGGCCTCAAAATGATGTTAGTGAAATGTCAGTTAAAATAGACCTTTTTAATGATGTGGCAGCCATTTTGAATTCCATTGGTTCAAATAGCTATTATGGGATGCTTAGGGGCAAATACTCACCAATTTGCCCCCTGAGCATCCCATAATGTCTCTTAACAATAGAAATCAAATTGGCTGCTGTGTTGCTAAAAAGGTTTATTAGGGTGCTTAATAAATTATCAGAGATATTAGACACCTCTTTGGCTTGCAAAATTTAATAATCACTCTTTGCTGAGCTCTAGATGTGAATACAAGCTGATCCAAGCTTGGTCCTTGGTCCTCCGAACAACAAAATTCTAATAAGAAATCTTAGATTAGACTGCCAATACGAGATTTAGTACGAGTATAACTTTACAAATGTACATGTAGCACTTAGCATGCTTTGGATTATCAAGTTTCATACCAGTCTTGTACACTCAGATAATTCAGTCAACTGGTTGGCAACAGGGGGAAGTGAGAGCCTTGAGAACATAACTGGACTGGAATTCAAAGTCCTATTTTTTGTGGTTGTACTGGTGTCTAAAGCTTGTTATATCTCTCTCCCATTTTCAGTGTCCAGTGATCAACTACGAGGCAAGACTCCACTAGAGGGAGCACTCATTCAGCAGTATGTGAACTTTGCTGACCAAGAACTCTTGCCTGCAATGGCCACCTGGGTTTTTCCCACTCTAGGTTTGATGCAGTTTAACAAGCAGGTGTGTAAGTTTGTTCAGACAAGATGAAATTTTAAATAAGTGTGTGAGGGGGTGACTGAAGTTTTGTGCAGTTGTTTTGAATTTCATCTTCTTGATGCAGCCATTCTACAAGCTATAAACTTCACAAGTCAGCGATGTTGATCTTAAAACTTAAACTTGGTTATAATGAACGAGACATTGTACTTGGGGTGAAAAATACCAGTCAGAATAATTATTCAAATTTGATCTTAATCAAATATGTTTTAAGGAAAAAATTGTACTTGAGCCTAGTGGCCCATCAAATTGGCACTTAACTCTGGTTTCCTAACATGATGACACGAGAAATATTTGATTTTTTTCTCCCCCTGGATGGATTTTATTGTATCGCAGGGTTACCCACGATGTTAAATGCACTTTATGTCACCTATACACCTGGGTGGAGAGAGGCACTATTAGAGCAAAGTGTCCTGCCTAAAAGTGTAACACAATGATCCAGGCCAGGGCTCAAAGCAAGATTGCTTGACCCAGAGTCCGGCATGCTAATCGTTAGGCCATGCTCCTTCCTAGATTTGTGTCTGAAATGTTTATTGATGAACTAAAAAGTAGCATAGCTTTACCACACTATGCTGTAAACATCCTAATGAACTATGTTTACTACATTTATGATGCTTCAATGGATGCTCTTATTTGACATTGTCTTCTTTGTGTTCCAAAGGCCACTGATAAAGCCATGGAGGACATAAAGAAATCCTTGACAGTATTGAACAATGCTCTGTTGACAAAGACTTTCCTTGTAGGTGAACGTGTGACACTTGCTGACATCTCTGTTGCTTGCAATCTTCTCATGCTATACAAACAGGTCAGTTATTCTAGTCTAGATTATGAGTTCATTAATGTAATTAAACCTTATTGTTTTCAATGTTTCTGTTTGAATGTCTAAGTTGCAAATATCTAAATTTAATTTGTGATATGTTTTCAGGTGATGGATCCCAGCTTCAGAGCTCAATTTGGTAATGTAAACAGGTGGTTCCTCACCACTGTGAACCAGCCGCAGTTTAAAAAGGTATTGGGTGAAGTAAAGCTGTGTGAAACCATGGCCAAATTTGATGGTAAGTCGATGATATTACAGTATAAACATCGTAATAGAGGGGAATGGTTGTGAAGTCTGACAAAACTCTTTGTTAGATGTGCTTGACCATGCACAAAACACGATGGTTGTTTTCTTCTGACCGAGGAACTAATCAAAAGAAAACGTTTTGGTTATGTCATAGTTAATACAGTACAGGCAAAAGGCAAAACAAAATATTGTGCACCAGACCATCCAACATAAATCTTGCCATCTTTGTTTGTTCCTTTGAAGCCACTGGGCTTCATAACCATTCCCTTCTATTAACTTTGTTAAATAGTGGACATTAATAATATAAACAGAGATTGAGGAATTTTTTTAAGTTCAGTAAGTGCTATGCTAGGACAAGCTCAACCTGATCTTAATTCCAAGATTTCAAGAAGTGCTGTTTATTTCCAAAATTGCCTTTTCTTTTACATTCTGACCGACTTTTCTGGAATTTTGGGGTAAATGGTAAAGAACCATTTTTATTCCAGATTAAGATCAATCAACACACCCACAAAGTGTTAGTTTTAAAAGTCAAGGGGCAAACTGAAAGGTTGTATGGGCCAGATGAGTGGCCTCTTTACGCAGTGAGTGATATTTTGATTATGGGTCATACAGTGAAAGCAACCTGGTGACCATGTACAGAATGAGGTTTTGCTGATGGTCGCGAGAAAGTGCTTAGGAACAGGTTTACAAAAGCCAATACGGGCTTTAGGATGATATGCTTAGCTCTTGAAAATTCAAATACCATCTCAGATCACCTATTTTCAAATTTCAGAGAGATTACTGAGATTCAGTCTAGCCTGGGAAATCACCAACTGAAGAAATTAAAATAAATATATATATTTACTAAGCTCATTTTACGTGTTCCATATATCTCCTTAGCAAAGAAATTTGCTGAATTGCATCCAAAGACAGATGAGAAGAAGGAGAAGAAAGGAAAAGCAGCCAAAGAGGAGAAACCTAAGCAAGAAAAAAAACCAAAACAAGAGAAGAAAGAAAAACCAAAGAAAGAACAGGACGACGATGATGATGATGATTTGCCAAAGGAACCAAAGGCTAAAGATCCCTATGCTGGTCTTCCAAAGAGGTTAGGAATTCACACAACTCATACTTATAGTTCGGCAGTAGTATGTCTACATTAGAATTGTGCTCTTCTTCACAAAAATTATGTTTTTCATCGCTAATGTTTTGTGGAGTTTCAGGTTAGTTGTTGTCAAAACTATAGGACAGAAACTATAAGCTTAAACCTCAGTGAAAAGTGGAAACAAAATTTATGCCAATCTTGGATTCGCTTAATTGTGCCTAGAGCTTTTGGGCCCTGGTCCAGGACTCAGTTTAAATCACTATTCAACAGTTAAGTCATAACACAAAACAAACTACAGTAGTACAGTTCCTCCAGTGCTGTAAGTGGAAAGTCTTGGACCATGAAAAATTCTTTGCATAGGAGAAATGTCTGCTCAGGGGGATGTGGTGTTTTGATCTATGGGTGGTTAGGGATGGTTTCACAGATAATCTCTATTAGGTGAAAACCAAGTTGATGCTTGCTGTTGTATTGCTGCATTTTTATGGAGTTACAGTAACACGCTACAAGTACTACTGGAGTCTATCACTGTTGCTAATAAATTTAATGTAACTCTGTGTATTGAAGCTGGCCACAACTCCAGTTCTTGTTTCTCTTTGATCTTAATTTTGTGATTGTTTTGTTGTTGTTGTTGTTGTTGTTGTTGTTTATTAGCTCATTTGACATGGATGAATTCAAGCGCACCTACTCAAACAAAGACACGGAGACAGTGGCTATTCCACACTTCTGGGAACATTTTAACAAGGAAGACTTTTCTGTGTGGCTGGCTGAGTATCAGTACAATGAAGAGCTGAAAAGGGTCTTTATGGCCTGCAACTTGGTAGGGGGCATGTTTCAGCGTCTAGAAAAACTGCACAAGACTGCATTTGCCAGTGTGTGTGTTTTTGGAAAGGATGGTGATGTCTCCATCTCTGGTATTTGGATCTGCCGCACACAAGAGCTGGCCTTTAGGGTAGGTGTCAAACATTCCAGGTGCGACATTTTTTCCACCACAAATCTTTTCTTTGTCCTGTTATACATTGTTTTTTTTTTGGTCTAAAATAATCCATTGTCTAAAATTTGACATTTTTGTATTGTTTTCTGTTGTTGCTTTTTTGATACACACACTGAGCCGTGTTTGTGAGGTAAAGAGTTAGGCTAAGGAGTGGTTGAACCATTTTAAAGAATGAGCCTCGATGATTATTACTTTTTAGAGTAGTGGACTGAATCTATGTGTGGAAATCTGTTCAGTACTTGTATGAGGGGCTCTGTATAAGGAAGTAACATGCATTTCTTTTGAGATTTTGGAAAGGTCCAGTTTGATTCGGCAGCTGTAACTAGTGTTTAGTGTTTAAAGTGAAAATTTTTGCTGCTTCAAGTACAAGTTTATTCTTTCTTAAAGCACTAAGCATGTTTTAAAATAAGGTAACTTTTTGTTTTGGTAAAATTGGAGTATTGTACGTACAGTGACGTCATGGCCAATTTTTTTGCTCTGATAGGTTTCCAGATTTTCTTATCCACATTTTTATGCTTCTTCCACTTTGCCACACCAAGCTCCACTTGTAATTCTTTTGTTTATAATGAAGAACCCTCGTGAGATAATCATTAAAAAAGGTTTCAGAAAGGAATTCGTAAGTGTTTGTGGTTACTGTTTGAGATGTTTTAAACTGTGGTTTCATTCTCCGGTCCCATTGTTTCCTAATATTACTCCAGTTTTGGGGGATTACTTACCATGTAATCCTCTTCTTACGTGTCTGCACATAAGGCCGTTTTTGGCCACAGAAAAGTATGGTGTGTCTTGAAGAAAGCCATCTTTTTCCTGAGTTTATCCATCTTGTCTCACTGACACAAAGAACTTCATTGCAGTAGTTCTGCATCTTTTTTAATACTGACTTCAGTTTTCCTGTTTGATATGATGCTCTAACATTCCAACATCTTATCTGCAGTTTTCATTTAGGGTTAAGGAGATCCGTTTTTAAGATGCCCGCACCTGGTTGGGTTTGGCTGCCATCCGTCATCATCCCTAGAGTCTGTGGCTCTTCATTCCTTGCAATATTGACATCTTGTTCTTTGGTTTTGGTTTCCATAGCAAGGGTTTTTGTACGGAGTTGGGTCGCTAACCCCACCCCTTATTAAATCGCAATAACCATTGCTTGAAACAGGAATTCAGATTGTGGTCGTTTTGCCCAAAAGCCAGTTCACTCGATGCCATTTTGCCCAGACTTATTGTCGGTTCACTCGGATTGTTACCTCCAAGGTCAATGGATTAAAGAAAGAGAAATTAACATGTGTTGTGTAATTTTGTTTCATTATGCCCATAATGTTCTCTTTTTCACTTGGCTTAAAGAAAGAGAAATTTTAAGCACAACTTTCTAGAAACTTTCAGTCCATGGAAAAGAGTTTTAGTCCGGACAAACTGACATTGGGCAAACTGGCTATCGGTTGAACCACTGGTTACCTAGAAACAGAAAACAGCATTGTTGCTTTTAACGCATTAAGTTAATCATGTCACGTTATTCTCACTTACTTGCAGCTGAATGAAGACTGGAACATTGATGCGCCTTCGTACAAGTTCACCAAGTTAGACGTGGATAACCCAGACCATAAGAAGATAATCAATGAGTACCTGTTAATGGAAGGAGACTTTGGTGGAAAAACATTCAACCAAGGAAAAATCTTTAAATAGACTCAAAACTGCTGCAAAATAAACTGCCCCACAGTGGATTAACTGTGTGATTTCTTGTCTGTTTTTTTATTATTATTATTATTATTATTATTATTATTATTATTATTATTATTATTTAAATCTTTTAAACCTGATTTTCACTAACGCACAAGCATTCCTGAGCATAAGCTGACATAGGCAGATGCGGTAAGGTGTTGTTGATTAGCACGTTTTGTTGGGAAAATTCCTAACAGAAGGCGCTATTAGCAAACCACAACGACTTCGGCAACGAGAACGTCACCAAATAAAAGGTTTAAACAATGGCTGTGCACCTGCACGTGAAATAACCAAGTTCTGTGGAGTCGGGGGAACGCAAATGGCGACGACTAATGTTTCGAATTCTATTTGGGAATGAAAGCTGTCATTGGGATTTGAGACTAAATCCAATAGGAAATTGAGCAATTTCAGTTTTTAATGGACAAAAACCTTGTACCAGAATAATTTTAGGTATATTACAGCACTTTTTGCATTCCTAAAGATAGCAACAGTTGCCTGAAATAATACTAAAACCATGGGAGCACTAGAAAATAAATTTCAAAGTTCAGAGAAATTGTGCAAACATGAATAAAATTCATCATCAGTTTTATTTCACCGTAACTTTCAAGTGTTTCATATGCAATTCCACTTTTCTTTCGACATTGAATAGTGTTGTTACATGTACTAGAAATGATATCTTTTGACAAGATATTTTAAACAGTCGCACAGAAGTTTGCAATACGTTGTCAAAAATCTTGGTGCCAAGTTTTTGTCCACTTGTTACTCGAACTTTGGAGGATTCTTTCTTAATTCCAATGCTGAGACGAGCATCCCCGACCTTATCACATGGGAGAAGGAGTCCTCCCTCCCTGGAAGTCTAATCTGGTGTGTATTGCCATGTGAACACTTTCCCGTTCACTTGAGATAGTTTTATAGGCCAAATTCAACAGGAGGGTGGCTAACAGCAGCCCCCCTTGTTATGCTGACTTGGCCTCAAAATGCCGGAAATCCCATTACTGAGGACCTCAATTTTGCCCCTGAACCCCGCTAAAGGAGATCGCCTTCGGTGGTCCGCATCTCGAAGCCCCTTATCCTCTAAAATCCTGTATCCGCCCCAGCTTTATGGTGGTGGCCGGGAAAGCATGGTATGTACGTATTTTGGATAAATGCATAAAAGTGCGAAAGGGACTGGGGCTGGGGATGAACAAACTGATTCAAAGCCAGCGGCGTTTTACCTAGTCAAGTAAGGCTGAGCCATTTATCGACTCGGAATTTTTTTTCATTTTTTCAGATGAAACATCGAAAACTAATTTTCTTCTGGCATAGGTAACGATTGCTCAGTCTATTTCATGATGTTTGCGACACGCAGACTTACTTTCTACTCAAAAATTCGTCATGTTGTACTTGGAAAGTATATGAGATGTTTGTTACACGAAGTATGTACTCGACATGTTCCACTTCGTTCAAAGATGGCGGACGGTTTTAGCGTCGTTGTGTGTGCTACAGTCTCTACTGGTTTAGAATCGGTTGCCGCCAAGGAGTGCAAAGAGAGGCTCGGCTGTAAGTCAATAAGGGAAGGAAGAGGCCGAATCTATTTTGATTTTCCAGCAAATTCGTTTTCAGAGTTGAAGTCGCTGAGATCTATCGAGAACTTGCTTGTAGTGGTGAAGGAATTCCAAGAAGACAACACCGAGGAACTCGATTGTTATGACCCGAATATTCTTGAAAAACTCTACAAACTACCTCAAGATCTTGACTGGAACTTGGCTCTTTCTCTGTGGAAGCAGTTTACGGAGTATTCCGGGATACTTTTAAAAAGTGAGAACCTAGGTGAAAACAATGCACTGAATATTCATGTTACAGACAACAAAACTCAAGCTATCGGCGAGGATAACGGAGATAATGATGGCGAGTCTTCGGTTGACAGCGTTAGAGAAGCCCCAGCTAAAAGAATGAAACACGGGAATAGAGGTTTTGATAATGAGACAACCAACAGTAAGGATGACACTACATTAGTAGCAACTTCAGAAGCACTTTCTGTACCTTTGTCAAGTGACGTTCCTGCAGAGAGTCCAGCCTTGTTACCAAAATTCCGTGTTACATGCACACGTACTGGCAACAGCCATAGCTTCTCATCCCCTGAAGCTGCAGCCAAGTTTGGAGGTGGAATAAATGACTGGTTTGGCTGGCGCGTGGATCTCACCAATCCAGATATAGAAGTTCTCCTCAACATTGTTGATAACAGTGTTGTTATTGGTATTGCACTGACAAAGGAAACTAGAGGAAAACGGAACATAGCTCACTTTGGTCCAACAACGTTGAAGTCATCAATAGCCTACTGCATGCTCTCATTGGCAAATATTCAGCCAGGTAGGTCGTGACATCCGTCTTGTGTCAGAAGGTTTTAAACAGACAGGTGGCAGGATTAAGGATTGTTGCCATAATCATTCTTGACAACATCCTTGTTGCCAGTACCATTCTTAACCGTAAACAGACTACAAGGTTGCTAAAGTTAGCCAGCTGCCATCCTAAATCACTATCTAATTCATGGTCTCAGCCAGCTACTTTGCTGGACTGCTCATCTGATTTGTTAGAAATCGCCTACTCAGGCACCTAATCAGCCACCTACTGCATCAATAATGCCGCCTAGTTGCACTTCCAAACATTTTGACAACCCTGAGGCTAACCTGAGCCAGGCACACCCCATACCTCTCACCCCTCACCTCAGTTTTAGACTTGCCCCCTTGCATTCTCTAAAGCAACTTGATGAAAGGAGGGTTCGCTAGTTTTGGTTGCCAGGACAAGGTTGGGGCAGCAAAGGTTTTAAATGGGCAACAATTTAGGAGGTTAATAAAATGCTCCTGGTGTGCATGCACCTTGTTAAACCTGAAATGTGATATCACACATATTTTACAGTATATGATGCAAACCCTCTTTGATCAAAAAAAATTTGTTCTTGCCACTGATATTGATTGCTTCACCAGGTGAAATTGTGTGTGACCCTATGTGCGGTGGAGGTTCCATCCCTATTGAGGGTGCATTGAATTGGCCTGCATCTTTGCACTTGTGTGGAGACCATCATGATTTAGCTCCTCCTAGGACGTTAGCAAATGTACAGAATGTGGTTAAACAACAGCTGGATGGAAAGTAAGGAAAATCTTAATATAGACTACAGTGTAAGATATAAAGGATTTACCGCTATTCTCAACATACTCCCAACAGCGGGCAGTGGCTTGTAACACCTACTTACCTGTTTGGCACAAATACAATGAAACAGATTAATGTAGAAGTTAGAATTCAGTCTTTGGTCATCTCAGAAAGGACTATTATTTTATATGAAATTCAGATCTTGTCAAGTTACTGACAAGATGCGGCATTTACATTTAGCCAATTTAAACCAAGACTAACACACAGTGGTGAGTTCAGTCAGCCTTCCTAACATGGCGTTCTTATACAAGATACTTGTGTTTTAAATTTATTATTTTGTTCAAGGGCAAGTGTACCGGTAAGTGTATTAAGTTTTTTTAAGTGGTTATTTATTAGCAATTAGTCTGATTGTTTGGGGTGGGGAGAGAGGATTTTTGGGTCAAAACTTGTCAAGCAAATTTACCCAAAAAAGATATTTAGGATTAACAACTGCCAAACTGCCATAAGAACTTTTAATTAATTTCTCAACAGGAAAACCCTCCCCCTTGACATTTATCAGTGGGATGTTTGCAATCTTCCTCTCAAATCAAACAGTGTTGATGTCTTCATTTCTGACTTGCCGTTTGGTAAGAAGAGTGGATCTAAACATGAAAACTGGAAGCTGTACCCTAAAGCGCTTGAGGAAATGGCACGAGTCTGTCTCACTGAAAGTGGCAGAGCTGTGTTACTTACTCAAGACAAGAGAGTTATGGGGCAGGTGCTTAACAGATCAGCACAATGGAAAAAGGATGTGACTTTGTGGATCAATCTGGGAGGACTTAAAGCGGGAATTTATGTCCTTTCCAGAACTAAAAAGTGAGATTGTTTACTTCTGAAGGGTTGTATTAATTCATCTTAATAGCGAGCTTAAGCAATGACGGCAGGATCCTGAAGACAATGCCTAGTAAAAAGTGAATTTATATTTTACCTTCGAACTTTTCAATTGTCGAGATCTGTTCAGTGTACCAGCCTATTGGTCACAGAACTTGCTCAAGCTAAATATGTAACTCTGGCATTCAATTCCAAAAAAACATGTGAAAAATTAGGCACTGCTTTTTTGTGTTCTCCAAAGTATGCAGAACTTACTAGTCATTTCACATTGTTGTTTTGCAGAAGAATGCTAAGAAATGTATTGTAAACATTTAAAACACACATGCACAGCCATTGTTTTACTTATTAAACCTTTTTTGGTGGCGTTCTCACAGCCGTTGCCTATGTTGTTTGCTTGAGCTCTCTATAATTAATAATAAACCTGCCTTAGGGTAGCTTTAATTTTAAGTCATTTAGACTTTCTCAGCAGAACAACTAAATTTTGCAGTTTTGTTCTAGTTAAAAATTGCACTTTTATGTCTGACAGGATCTGTTTTCAGACAATCTTAATGTGAACAATGGCCTTCAACTCTCTTTTAGAATATGCCACATGATTGACTAACTCATAATTTATGCAGAATATTTTTATTTACTCAATGACATTAGATAATGGATAAAACAAAGTGAAGACATCACTGTTTAAAATCAAATGTCTTGAATACACTTTGATTATGCCATAATTTTTTAAAGATATTCCCCTTAAGTCACAAGTCACTGCGAGAGCTGTAGTGTATTTTGCAAATATATAGTCAAGTAAAAGTGCGAAATAATAGGTAAATCTGCACAGCAATATTGCATACTAACCCTTGACCATAATAATACTGCCAGCAAGCGTCATAGGCCTGCAATGCGTGCATAACTCACTGAACAAGTGTACAAAAAAATTCACCAATAATCTTTACTTTTGTACTTTGCAGAGTACAGATTCCTGCTAAATTCATTATGTACAACTATTATTTAATTGTTCTCTACTGTTTATCATGGACATAGTTATAAGAAAGCAGTCTTTAGATAATAATTAAAACATACATCTAAGCATGCACTTCCTAGCAGAAAGCCACGTTTTTACAGCGCTATAGAAGCACATATTAAACAAGCTATATGTCACAAATTGCACATCTTCAAAAAGTATAGCCCAAATTTTTCAAGTTTGTTGTTTGTAATCCATGTTAATCTTCTCCATCCACAACCATCCTTGTTCCTTTATGGTTTATTATTGTCTCTTTGCTGTTTTTCTATCTCAGTAAACTACTATTTCAGGTTTCCTTCAATTTAAAGGTTATTTTGTATGCGGCCAAAATAACTCCATATAGTGTGACTGAGCTCCTTTAAAGTTGTTTGTATGAGATATTTTCAATTTTCCTTTTCTAGCTTGTCACTAACTACCCTTGAAGCAGTTGGTTTCTCCTACATCAAACGAGAGAGTTTCTCTCTCATTTGTAGTGTAGCGTCGGCATGGGGGAAAGCAACTGCTTGCAGGGTAGTCACTACCTGATTTGATAACATCTCTCCAATACGTATTGCTAAATTATTTAAAATTTTGACCCCCAAAGTCAGTGTCAGTTCTTCCTGTTGTGTTACAATCAATTTATTTTCTAGAATTCTCCTCAAGTGAATTATTCTGTTATAACTTTGTCAGGACATTTTCCTACTACTATAGTCTACAAATCAAGTCGAATACTTTTGTAACCCAGGCTAAAAACTAGGATCTGTGATAAACTTAAAGCAGTTCTGGTTTCTATAATTTTTGTGTCTAAAATAAAGTAAAAAGACAAAAACATTAACTGAAATTCAAGGCAGCATGTTGGATACAGTTTACTGCTAAGGAAATTAGTGTACATTCCACATTTGTCATGTTAAGATGTGGGAAATGCTATTTTTTTCATTACTGATAAGTCATGTTCACTTCAAAAGTGAAAAATAATATTTTATAAATAATGATAAATACAATTACCAGAAATCCAAAAGACCTTAACCCTATGTAAACTTGACACTGACCAGTGTAAAACATTTATAAGACTAGTTAATTCTTAGTCAAAATCACAGTCAAAACTGCCTCCTGAAGACCATGAATGGTCTGAACCCCATCCTCCAAAACCATGATGTCCAAACCCCCCTACAGTGTGTCCCAACATATATCCCATTGCTGCTCCACCGACGACTCCTGCTGCAGCACCCATCATCATTTTATTGCGGCCACTATGTTGCTGTGGTGGCTGTTGCATATACACTGTCTGTGGCTTACCACCTTGTACGTATGTCGTGTGATGAGCTGGGTTGCCATAGTACTGTTGCTGTGGATATTGACCGGGGGGAGGGGTGGGGTAGTATTGTCCATGAGCCTGCTGTGGGTACCCTCCTGGGGGTTGTTGAGGGTAAGCTTGTGATGGGTAGCTCGGCTGCTGTGGAGCAATTGGCTGAGGATAAGGATTTGGTGCATACCTGGGTGGTGGTGGACCTGATGGATATGGAGGTGGCTGCCCATAGGCTCCCTGTGGCTGAGGAGGCCCTTGAGAGTATGGCGGAGGAGGGCCAGCTACTGATAGAGATAAACAGAAATATTGTTTAACAAATGACTTTGTCAAGAAAAAAAAGTGAATTAAAGTTTTCAGTGATTTAGTAACATGGTAAAGTCTCTATACAAGCCAATTTGCCCATCAGGCCAGTGCTTATCTCTGATTTCTGTAGCATGAAACGACCAGGAGGATTTCTACTACCCATGAATGGGATGCTAGTCCATCACAAGGTAACCCTTAGTACTGAATTTGACCTTACCCATTTATATACCTGGGAGATAGAGAGCCACTGTGAGAGTAGTGTCTTGCCCGAGAACAAAGCACAATGTCCCCACCCAGGGCTCAAACCTGGAACCACTCAATCCGGAGTAGAGCGTACTAGCCTTAAAGTCACAGTGCCTCCCACTATATAAAGGTATATACAGCTACAGCTGTATATATTACTATACTATATGTAGCTACCCTAATAGTCAGACTGCAAACTTTACTCATAATCTATTTCTGCCTTTTCCGATCAGCTGAAAGAGCTTTTCTGTTGAAACAGTGTTCTATTTGGCTCATAAAATTCATGAATAACTATATCCAGGACTCAAGAGGCATATTTTTCATATCCTCACTAGTGATGATATTGCAAACAGTCAGTTGGACTGTATAATATAAATAAAATAATTACACAGTGGTTGAAGATATGAATTTAATTATCTCGTGTTTAAAACAATCTTTTACTAATAAACCCACTGTGCTCATTTGTAAAATATTGTTTATACCATGCGAAAATAAAGTTCATATCTTCCCGCCACTGTGTAATATCCTCTAGTATATAACAATAGCTTACAGGATGAACCTCCATGAACAACAGATGGATTAAAACCAATGGGTGGTGGATGTGCACCTCCTCCAGGAACGCTTGGTGCAGCACCATAAGGAGCAGGGTTAGGTGCAGCACCATATGCAGCAGCATTTGGAGCACCATATGATGGATATGAAGGTCTGGGCACTGGTGGATTCTGTGGCCCACCATATGTAAGCTAACAAAGGAATAAACAAGACAAATCAACAGATAAAATTGCTTTAGTTTCAAGCATCTTTAGAAAATGGCTTCCGTTTCTGACAAAAATTTTGGTTCATGGCAACTTACAAAAAACATGCAGGATTTTTTCGTTACATGTACATTCGAACATTTCTTCCCTTTTAAAGTGTAAAATGAATAATTACCAGTAAACATAAGGCCTTGTGTCCCATGAATTGGGAGGATGAGTGAGTGTGAGTTTATAACGTAATACTAAATACATGTAGCTCAAAATGCACGACAAGGTAAGGATTAGCTTTATGCATTTTATCTTGTAGCTGTGTTGTCCAACCAGACAAATTTTGCACATCTGGCGTTCAAAGGCTGTTTTTAAGAGTGCTTACAGTCTAGTGAAAATCAAAAATTGGAGATGTAAATGAAGCCATAAAATTATCTCAACAGAATCAGGGTCAGAAAAAACAGAACATTTCCATTTTATTCTGATTCTTGGATTCGGAAGCAGAGGTTGAAGAAATAAATAAAGAATCCCTAAACCCAGAATCAAGCATCATGACTGGTTAGTCCAGTTCTGACCCTTTCTCTGCCAAGCAACCCTATGCTCTCGGAGAGAGGGACTCTGTCTCCAAGAGCATAGCAATGTGTGACAGAGAGAGGGCCAGAACTGGACTACATGATTGGTTAATTCTTCCACTGCTTCCCACTTCCACAATGCAGTTTTCACTAGGTCATAACCAACAGAGTCATAAGTGGAATCGACTTAAGTTCTACTTCTGACTTCGTTAGTTTGATCTTAACTAGATTATATCAGTAGTCACGCTGCACTTCTGATTACGACCCTGACTACAACTGATAACCAATCTTGTCTACGCTCATCCAGTCAGATGAAAACAACCAATTTCTAGCTTCTGCATTACATAGTTGTTAGAGTGCCTAGAAAGTGAAGACCTAAGACCCCCTAGAAAACAAAGACCCCCAAGAAAATGAAGACCCCCTAGAAAATGGAGAGCTCAAAAACAAAGACGTCGAAAACAAAGACCCCTCGAAATCCTAACGTTAAGTAAATTAAGGCACAACATTCAGTACTTACTGGAACCCGAGCTTGCTCTAAGAGTGAAATCCATTCCCTGTTTTTAATAAAAGAGGAAAGTCTTATTAATAGTTATCACAAAGAGTAGGGCATGGAGTTCCCGGTGTTGTGGCCTGGTCTTGTTCCGAAATTACATTGGGGGCATCTGTAAAAATAAATCCTCATTCGTTGTAAACTGCTCAATTGCAGTCTGTCTAAGACCCCCGCAAAGTGTTGTAAAGCGCATTGAGCATATGGAAATGCGCTATATAAATACCGTTATTATTATTATTATTATCAATAATCAAGATAATGTCATTTTTGCAACTTATATGAAACTTATATGAAACTAGTCAGATTAGTCAGGTTTTCTGAGGAAGACAAATTAGGTGAAACACATTATTATTATAATAATAACATATGTTAAGATTTGTGCAATGTATAATATTTGCTAAAAGTCATCTGCCCTCTCTCCTACAGAGACATGCATGTTTTATTAAGTTGATCAGTCTGTTGACATAAAATTGTCTTCCAAGGAAAAGATGTTTTGGTCAGCCAGTCATTCAGCCTATTTACTTACGAGTTTCATCAACAGTAACATGGCTTTCATTGAGCTACAGGAAACCTGGACAAAATGTTTGCAAGGGCCTTTTCTCATTACGCTAGAAGCAGGAAAGAATATTATGTTATTCCTCTCTCTCCCTTTTCAGTGTTGTGTATATAAAGAAAAAAGGGCTCCTATTACTATGTATGTAGACATTTATGTGAAATTAATTAGGGAATTGGGGGGGGCAGGGTAGGTTTGATGTTCCTCTCCAAGGGGGTGAGTGGGGGCTCATTTCCTAAAACAGTGGCCGGTAATCGAGCCTAGGGGCAGGGCAAAGCAGGTGTCCAGTTCATGGCAATCATTCTGCATGAACAAGTTTTTTTGAAGAAGATATTCATACATAATGTAGAACTACAATCCTGGTTACTCAAGTGGCTCCCCCCCTCCCGATATCACCTGTTTACAAGCCAATTTGTCAATCAGCTTGCGGAGCAATTAGGTTTCTACCCGGTTTCTCACTGGGATTTTATGGTAAATAAATCCTCTCAATTCTGCCTAACCAACGTGCTATTCTCTGCCTCTTAAACCAGAGCACTTTCGTCCGCTTTTCAGGTTTTCCAAGCACCTTCAGTGATACCAACATACCCAATTTAATTTGGTAAGCTTGACTTTATAAGCTTATCCTACAAAAGCGCTTTGGAGAGATATTTGCTTTCGTTCTGTATCTTCAAAAATCTTTCTCTCTTTAGCATATTGTCACGAAAAGTAAGATTATCAAGGAAAACAGGTCGACATGACAAATACAAGCTAAGCTTGTCCAAAAAGTTTGTTTTATACCTTGCGTCACTCTCCGTTTCTGCGTAGAGGTACCATGTCCGCTCAGGCGACGAAACACAGAACATAGCATTGATATCACTGTCTTTAGGTGGTTTAACCCCTTCTCCAACGGCATGGCCAACGTTTATTCGACGACATTCTGTTTTCATGTGAATTTTTCCATCGCATTCCTTGTCTTTCGAATCCTGATAATACGAGAACACGCCATCTTGGTACAAAACGAAGTATCTTCTTTTCCAAGAGTTCTTGAAAAATCCACCTAGAATGAGCTTAGCATTAGTGTAGTTCCCCTACAACGACTTTTTGTGCTTGTTTGCAAAATACTTACTTAGTTTGTGGAGATATCCCGCTTTTACGGTTCCCATGTTTCACAACAGCTACGTTTGCCTCTACGATGAAGGAAGACGAATGACTTGTAACTATGCTGGAGCTAAAAATAGATCTCATCCGTGACTAATCCCATGTTTGCGTGACGCAAGGTAATGACGACTTATGACGTCATTTTATTTTTTCCCATACATCAATAATTCTTATTTCTTAGCTTTCTCCTTCATGATCAGTATATTATGTTCCGAAAGATAAACGGTATTTATAAAATCAAACGTAATAATAATATTACCATGTGTAATAAGAAGGCAGCTTTCTTGGAATTTTAATTTTTTCTGTTGAAACCACTTTTTGTCAAATTGCAAAAAATGTTCATGAAAAGGGAAAAGAAAAGGATGACTGCTTCAATCTTTTTGGGTTTGAATTTCCTGCATACCTTCATTTATGATTTTGTGGAATTTATGATCAAGTGATTTTGTGTGTTTACCTGATAAATTTTTTGCAAAAATAAAGGGAGCTGTTTTAAAAAACCTACAAAGGTTGCATGGTTGAATTTTTATGGCCATCAGTATCAAAATAGTTGCCAAAAGAGATGCTTTGTCATCTAGCATACAATTCTCTAACTTCTTCAAATCATCATAAAATCTCACACTTCAACCTGTCTTGAAAATTTCTAGTATCAAGTTTCAATGACCATATTTTAGTGATGGGGAGGTCATGCGATAGATATCCACTGACATCATAAAATAGGTAGCATAAAAAATAGGTGATATCACAGTAAAGTAATAAGTTTTTCTTTTTTGCTGGGCATTATTTTTCTCATTAATACAACACCTTGGCAAATGCCTTTTCTTCAAAAATCAAACACTACAATTTCATATTCACTCAAACACATGCAATTCTTACATGCAATTCTTGTTGCCTGCCAACTTAACAGGACTCAGTTATCAACTAGCTGGTTGCATATATACATTTTGTCTCATTTAGTTCCTAAACATCATGACTAGTTGTACTTGAACACATAACCAGTCTAACTTTCATTTGTTTATGAATCCTCAATGTTTCATTCTGTCCAAGATGCTTGTTGGCTTGGTAACAACTCTGCTGATTAACTTTGAGTCTTGTTTCAACAACAGCAGCTTTGATTATTATTACTTAATAATCCTTTGGTTTCTCAGCAATTCTTTGTGAGTACTTTCTCCCTGATCTCAGTTCTTTAACATTAACTATACTTCAACAGGAAAGACCTACAACTTGGTGCCGATAAGGGAAATATATTGAAACTTCTCTTATCAAAAGCCTTGAGTTCCTTATTTACATATTTTTACAATCATGGTTTAAGTTTCCTTAAATCCACTGAGTTTTCCAGAATGAAGCGTTTATACAGAATACTAGTCAGTAATTTTGCAGTCCTCAAGCTCTCTGGTTGAAGGCCAGTACACTTTGAATGCAAACTCATTTCTAGCAAAGGAACTGGGATTTGTACAAGTGCATTCTAAACTAGAGCAGGTATAAGGATCATACTTGTCGGCCAAAATCATGAGATCTGGAACTGGATACACCCTGAGGGAGTGGTCCTGAGTCCAGTAAATAGGCCTTACATGGGGTGGGATGGGGCAAATGTGTGCTTGTGCTAAGATTGTCTTCACTAACTGCACAGGGATGTCTTTCAATTCTGTGGGTAAATTAATTGAGTTACGACACATCTTGTTCACAAGGTCTTCTCGAAATACAATGATCTCCTGTGTGCAGTACTGAATCCTGCATGGGTTGGTCGTAAATACACTGAGAGGGACCTTTTCAGTGACTGCTGAAGTGAATATAGAAGGAATTGGTGGTCTTGGAAGAATGTTACCAGGTCCTGGGTCTTGTGGTCCAGGCACGAACACAAAGCGACTGTTTTCTATTAATGGTGGAAACTCTGCCACCAGTTTGGCAAAACCTTGGAATGACCTTTTTAGAGTGTGATAGTGACTGGGGCCATGTGGTTCAGAGGTGAAGTTACCACACAGAATGAACATGGCTGGGGGCATTGTAGAGTAACCTGAGAACAGCGCACGCAGCTTCTCCATGACCCTGGGCTGGTCTAACCAAACATCTGACAACATCACAAACATGGCATTGTGATTTTCTCTCTCCACGGCTTTAAGCTTTACTGAAGCCTTCAGGCTGGTGGAGGAAGGACCGCCAAAAAAGTTGACACTGCCGAAGTGATTCCTGGTCACCTGACCAGGTTCTGCTGGGGGAAAACCCAAAGCCTTGATGCGAAACACGCCCTCTTCATAGGTCCCTTCTGCAAGCACAAAGCAGTTTTCTGTGTAGAGGCCTGTGTGAAAATTAGCCTGTCTCAAGTCAAGTTCTACAACACCAGTAGGGTCCTCCAGGTAGTATTTCCCCTCCTTAATCTGTGTCATCATGCCCAGTACGATAAGTTGCCCCAAGTTAGCAGTGCTCCCCAGCAAGAACTCCACTGTCTTGAGAGCAAATTTCTCGGCCACTTGACTTTGGTTAGCTCCTTCTACCACGGGCGAAAACAACTCGTGTCTCATGGTCCTCTGATGAAGGATGTTGTACCTTTCTCTAAACACCTCCGATTTGGCATTCGGATTATTGGCGTGCAGCGACACGGAGCCACCGCTCGGGAGAAACTTTTTCCTGTCCGGATTAAACGTGAACCTTGGCACACTGAAAGCATCGATGATGGTGAAAGCTTTGTCGTTGTCGTCTTCAGAAGACTGGCTGCAGTCTTGAACAGCTTGCTCGGCGATTTCACGGTCGACGAGTGAAGAAGTCAATGGCTGCTTTTGGACGCCTTCTACTATTTTATCGAGCCAATCTTCCAGCTCAACTTCAGTCAAGGGACTCAAAACCTCTGTGAGGAATTTTGATGCGTCTGTCTTGAGCGAGAGGCCGTGTAATTTGAACGTAGAAACTATCTTTCCTCGAACGGTGGCAGCCATTTTTTTTCGTGTCGTCGAAAATGGCGCGAAAAGTTTGTAGTGCCAATCTGTACGCGCGGCGTCATCAAGAGAGGGACTGGAGTTTACTTGAGAAAATCCGCTGAAGACTGGGGTAAAAGTAGGCACGCATTGCATAATTGTATCTTCAGGTAATGCAGTTGAAAACCTTTCAGCGTAAGGGATGTCACAGAGTGAATTGAACAATTTGTTATCGTCCGCGGAAGCTATTTATTATAAAAAAAAGGATTATAATGAAAGACATGACCTGACATGCAAAAGAGATAGACTAGTACATTAAAACTGGACAAACCATCACTAAAAACATTCCTTTACTAAATTAAGCGTACTAAGCTTGTAATCAATGTGGAATCGTTGTCTTTGTCGGGCAACCGATTTACAAATACAATCTTATGAATTTAAAGAAAAAAGAAAAAACAGCATCTAGCAAAGGAGACAGCAGTACTTAGCAAATGGCACCGTACTTTCTTAGGTTCAAGTTATCAGTGTCAAATTTCTCACAATATCGTTGACACTAATGAAGGAAAAGTTTTGGAAATTTCAGTCTAACCTCTCCAAAACGGCCACTTTGGAGACAAGGGAAAATCGTTTGCGTTGTGGAGAGGTGGTGGAAAGGAAGAGTGAATGTATGGACTGTCCACCAGGACCAGAAAAAGTGGCTCTTGCGGAGAGGTTACCGTTGTAGAAAGGTTAAAATAAGAGTGAATGTGTGGACTGTCCACGGGAGAAGAAAAAGGGTGGCCGTTGTAGGGAAGTTGCCGTTAGTGGAGGTTCGACTGTAGTAAAGGATGACCGAAAACAAATAATATTATATGGCTGAACTGGTCCGCGTTGAAAAGGACAATAATGATTCGTCTCATCCGCGGTCTGAATTTTGCAATACGGACCTCTAAGATGGAGCGCTGAGATTGAGCGCTACGATGAAGCTCTGAGGTGAACCCCCCATATTGACCTCTAAGATGAAGCGCCATTATGGACCACTCACGAATAGCTGTTATTGAAGTTATCAGCGGTTTGACATACAAACGAGGCGAAAGGGTCAATTTTGCTTTGTATTAACCCGTTCGCCTCGTTTGTATGCCTTTTTAAACAAAGGAATATTTGACTGCAGACTCAACTGTAATAACAGCTATTAATTTCGGCGAATTGTTGTTTCAATTCATTGCACAAACTAAACAAAGTTCTTTTGTAAAGTAGAAAACGTTTTACCCTCATGTTTAGAGGACAAAAGCGGCGTGAGAAACCTGAATAAATTGAGACCTTTCGCGCACGCATTCACCAAGAGTGACTCACGAAGACCCATCAATTTATCAGCAGATTAAAACGAGCAATTATAATACTTCATTGAACTAAATTGTTCGATCAGTATTTGCGAAGTTTACAACCTGCCAAAAAAAAAAAAACAAACAAAACAGAGCTCGGCCAAAGTTTCTCCAATACTGACCACACGCCAGTCCAATAACATATATGTATTGTCAGGTAACCAAATTCAACAAACTAGTGCAGTGAAAAATAGTATATCACATCCGGCAATGAAAAACCAAGATCTAAACTGTTGTTTAGGATCGACAAGAACTCGCTTTTCTGATAGAGCGGTTTTCAGTTGAGTGTCGAAAGTAATCAGACAATTACTTTGGTTTTGGTTTTGGTTTTACGATAGTTTTAGATTGGCTGAGTACTCCAATTGGTAAGTAATTGGTTTGGTTTTGGTTTTACGACACTCAATTGAAAACCGCTCAATTCGCTTAGGGACGACTAACGCTCAATATGACAGCTGCATTAATTTCAAACGTATCAATATAAAATTCCTCACAAACTAGCGTGAATCGTTTCTGGGGCTTGCGGAGTAAAAAAATGGACGGGGCTCGTTGGGTATATTTTGGGTAAACTTAAAAAATGCGTTCTCGTTATCGCTTATGTTTTCTTTTAACTAATTCTTTATACACGTGATCATTCAAGAACTCGAGCGCAGCAATTTAAGAACGTTTAAATAAATGGTTTGACAAAGACACTAAAACAGTTCAAAATCAATAAGAAAAACAACTGTAAATATTTATTTCATCTTCTACAATTACTTGTTTCTGTAGCAGACAGATAACGGCCTGCCTTCGATTTAGCCTGTTCAAAACTTTACTATTCCCATGCTCGCCGATTTGCGCCAAAGAGCGAAATGGAGGCAAACGAGAAAGGAAAAAAGGAGAAGACACTGGGGTGAGTGTTCGCTGTTTCGCTATCCCAAGTCCTCTCGATTTATTTTATTCTCGTTGTCCGATCCGGAGATCGGACGAAGTAATGAATTGAACATTTCCGAGTTACCTTTGTCTCTGTTTCAAAACGAGTCCCCGTGCAAAACCTTTCATATGAAAATGAACCTGTAGAGGAAACACATTTTCATACGAATGGATTCGCGCGAAGACTCGTTTGAAGAAAGGCAGGGCTTAACTCCGTGTCTGATTTACAGACGAGTCTGCGGACAGAGGATCGATCAGTCTTTATAACTCTTGATGTTTTCGACGTTAATCGTTCCAGTTTGTTCGAGTCCACTGCGCACCAGTGACAATCTTTCTCTGCGCAGGTATGAAGCTGGGAACTAGCTCTGAGCCTGCAGTCGCAGTAACGCAGTCATTGCCAAAGGGAGATCAGCCACGTCCTGAAGCATCACGGGTAGACTAGGAACGCTACCTATGGAGACAAAGAATTATGGGAAAAAGATGAGACGGCTATTATAATATATGAAGAACTGAGAAAGTGGGAAAGGGTTTCATGTAAGGCCATGTCTCAATGAAGAATTGCAGTAAGTCAATAGATAAGGGACCTCACTAACTCTTCACACGTTTCCATTTACTTGCCAGGCCAGGTTACCTGGTCGGGTTTTTGAACCGAGACCCTTTACTCTGTAAGACTAAGAAGCCCAACAATAATGCTTGGAAGTCGTAGAAGAATGGAACATTTGAGGGGGTGGAGACGGCTAACGATAGCGAGGATCTTGGCATCCAGTGAAACTTCCTAAACATTTGTTGACAAATCCAGTTAAGGTGTCACGGTTTTTTAAAATTGCAATCGGTTATCTAACCAAATAACCGGTGGAAACTCCTCAGTACACGACTCACGAACACATCACCTTGCTGGATAGAAGACGGCAAACCGTGTGGCAATGGAACTTCATGGTAAACGGCAAAGCAGCACATGGCAGGACAGAAACTGCGTTTGTGTTCCTCGGCACTGTAACAGGATCTTGCTGATATTGAGTCTACAAGAAAAGACAGCATTAGTTCAATTACTTTTGAGCCCTTGTGCAAACGTAGCCGTAACAGTAGTAGTCTGTTAATTTATTAAAACACTGTAAAATCTTCATAAATACAACAGCTACAGTAAGCTAAATCCTACTTAGTTAAAATAATAGAAGAGCTCTTTCATAAGATTAGTGTGCAGGGCCTGACGAACTGTTTCTATAGAATCGGTTGATGTCATTTATGAAACGCCCAAGGGCTATCTACCTTTGGAAACGGAAAGAGTGTCGACCTAAGGGCCCATTAACCGATCTTTTCGAACCGTTGCTGAGGAAAATTTATTCTCATATAACCTCATCATTTTTAGCTAGTTCAGAGTTATTTCATGTGTTTTAACTTTTTCATGATTAGTAACACTAGTGATGACGTCACCAGACCACGCCCATGGTCATGTGACTAATACTGAAAAAACGCAAAGGCTCCCAGGCAAATTACTTTATCGGGATTTTTTTCATTGATTTGATATTTTACTTTAAATCCTCATTACGCTATGCATAGATTTTGTTTTATTTCTAAAAGGTCAGATTTTGAGAGAATTTCAAAATATTAAAAAATGCGTAATTTTCTC